ATGAGAGTTATATCCAAATCTGAACCGATCTTGACAAAATTAAAAAAGATTATTTCTGAGCTGCATTTGATATCTGGTACCAAATATCAATCTTCTTTAGTGCATATTACGCATGTGAGGAACCTAAAACCCCAAATCGGATGAAGCATATATATGTGAGCTATAGCTATATCTGAACAGAATTTCACCAAATTTGATGTACCTGCTTCTAGACTGAATTCGGTCGTATGTGCCAAAATTCAGATCATTTGGACTGATATTGACCGTTTGGTGCACAAAAACCTGAAATCGGCAAAAGATATATGTGGGAGCTATATCCAAATCTGAACCGATCTTGACAAAATTTTGGGCACCTAATTCTGAGATGTATCTTATATCTGGTACCAAATATCAATCATGTGGAATGCATATTACGCATGTGAGGAACCTAAAACCCCAAATCGGATGAAGCGTATATATGGGAGCTATAGCTATATCTGAACCGATTTTCACCAAATTTCATGTACCTGCTTCAAGACTGAATTCGGTCGCATGTACCAAAATGTAGGTCATTTGGACTGATATTAGCCATTTGGTGTACAAAAAACCCTGAAATCGGATAATGGGATAATGGTATATATGAGAGCTCTATCTAAATCTGAACCGATGTTGACAAAATTTAAAAAGCTTATTTCTGAGCTGTATCTGATATCTGGTACCAAAGATTATGGTTGTGGAGTGCATATTTCGCATGTGAGGAACTCAAAACCTCAAATCGGATGAATCATATATATGGGAGCTATAGCTATATCTGAACCGATTTTCAACAAATTTGAAGTATTTCTTTCTAGTATGAATTCTGTCGGATTTGCCAAAGTTCAGGTCATTTGGACTTATATTGGCCATTTGGTACACAATTAACCCGAAATCGGTTGAAGATATATGTGGCAGCTATTTCTTAGTTTGAACAAATTCTCACCAATTTCAATAGGGTTCGACCTGGGGGCAAACAAATATTTTTTGGAAAATTTCAGCTCAATCGGATAATAAATGCGACCTGCATTTCGTACACAAAAATACATGGACAGACGCCCAGACGGACGGACGGACATGCCTAAATCGATTCAGAAAGTGATTCTATGAAGATTCTCAAAAGTAACCATGGGTCCAACTCGCTTCCTTCTCCATGTTACATAAAAATGCCCAAAGACATAATACCCTTACCACTATATGGTGTAGGGCATAAAAAGGAAATTCCCTAAGAAAAATACGAAATAAAAATTATTATTGCCTGCGTCACGCCACGTGTCTGTGTAGAGCGGATTTTTTTCATTTTCCAGCCTCAAGACAATTGTTATGTTTTATTTTTCAAAATTTTAAATTTCACAATCATATGTCATTAATAATTTTTTTTATAAATAAATAATATTATGGTATACATTTTTATTGTTTCATGAAACTGCATTTGTATTGACAGCTTATATTTCGCACACATATATGAATGTATGTATGTATGTATGTACTTATCTCTTCAACGACACGACAATTTGATAGATTTGAGACTGAGAGATTGCAATCACAGTGATAATAACTGATGAACTCTGAGGAAATGTGGCAATTGAATCAAAACAAAGTACATAGTTTATCACTTCAAAATCGTACGATCTGATTGAGAGCTGGACAAAGGCCGGTGTGACCATTGCGTGCGTACGTCGATTTGTAATTATAATAATTAGCCCAAAGGCATGTGAACCGTTAAAACATTTAACATTAAAATGACAATAAGAAAAACAACGGCGAGAAAAAGAAAGAAACTGGTCGACAAAATCTGCATAGTGGGCGGAGCCGACCAAATGATACCCTATACGCCTATAATTTGATATGAACTCTTGTAAACCATTGCAAGTTTGTTCTCTGATTGTTAGCTGTTGCAATTAATTAATATTTGCAATTAAAATATATTTATTTTAAAATAACAAGTACCAGGTGCTTCATATGCGGAATTAGGAACTCATATTAAGAGATTTTTTTACCCCAAGGAGAATTTATTAAATAAGCGGCCACAATTTACATTTCAATACACACTAATATAAGATTTCCAGTTCTATTCCTTCCTAAATACCCAATTTCGTACTAGTATGTATTTTTCGTAATTATACCCTGGGGAGGTTATAGATCATTTCATACGGCCAAAACGTGCCTCATCGTAATACAGGTTTTAGACCATAGGTCTCTTTGGACCAAACCCGTATCAGGTCATTTGGAGTCGATATAGCAATGTCCGTCCATCCGTCTGTCTGGCTGGGGTGCACGATAACTCTCGAAAGGAGTATCCGATTTGGTCCAAACTTGTTGCATCGAAATATTACTATCAAATTTAGATCGAGTTCGGAGATGGGCAATATAGATCCACTCCTTCTGGTACCTCCCCATCAAAAGGTAAACATTTTCAAAGAAAATAAATTATTTTCTCTTGAAAAGAGGAAGTATCATTCGATCTTGTACAAACTTTGCAAATGCTAATATTTGCATCAGTGCTACGTCAGGTGGGAAAATAGACAATATCGACCCACTCCATGAAGTACCTCCCCCACAAAGGGTCAAAATTTGGAATAATTATAACTCTTATAAAATGTGATGTAAGAGTCCGATTGCCTTCGAATTTCACACATGCCAATATTTTTATAAACACAAGATTTGTGGTGATGATGGAATACATGGGTCCACTCCTTGTGGTACCTCTCCCACAGAGGGCCAACATTTTGAATAACCATAAAGCTCATAAAACGGCATACGAGCATTCAATTATTTTCAAACTCGACATGTCCCAATATGTCTGTCAACACAAGATCAGGTGTGAAAATTTTAGATATGAACCTACTCCCTCAGTTACCTCTCTACAACAGGTCAAAACTCATAAAATGCCGAAATAATTATCCGATTCTTTTTAAACTTGGCAGATCATAACATCTCGACCAACACAAGATCTAGTGTGGAGATAAGATATATCGGCCCATTGCCTCTGGTAACTTCGCCAAAATGGATATAAAATTGAATAATCATATCTACAATAAAATTTTCTATGGCCCTTACATTTCGTACATCCCAATATTTCTATAAACATAAAATCTGATATGAAACAAGTAAAAAAGCTGTAAGTTCCGGGCCGGTCCGAACTTTGAATACCCTAACCTGGTACAAATTTGGCAATTTAAAAAAAATAAAATCCGTTAAAAATTCTCTGAAAATCTTAAAAATTCCGAATGTAGCCCGTATATTAGGGTCTATACGACGACGTGGACCTGCATAGACAATATCTTGGCATGCGTATCACTACAACGATCAGAAGACATATTTTAGAGTATATGTGATTTCGCTGCGATCGAAAATATTCGCGGTTTTGTGAAAATTGTCGTATTTTTTTCACATAAAAGTTGTGGTCTATTTTACCCGCTAAATATTGTCCGATGACCAAACAAAATGTTAGGCTTCTGCCCAGGCTTAAACTCTAGCCCCATGCTAAATTCCGTGTGAATTGGTCTATAATTGCGACATATAGAGCAGTTGCAAAATCACGAAATTCTTCTGTTTTTGGTCCATTTCATCCCCTAAATATTTTGCGATCATCTACAAAAACAATAGGCTTCTATTCTGACTCTAAATTCGGACTTATGTTGCCCATTTGGTGCACAAATAATTTAAAATCGGATAAAAATATGTATGGGAGCTATATCCAAATCTGAACCGATCTCGATAAAATTTGGCAAAGATATTTCTGAGCTGTATTTCCCTGAATATCGTTGTCACGGAGTGCATATTACGTTTGGGGTAACAAATATAACAAATCAGATGAACAATATATATGGAAGCTATAGCTATATCTGAACCGATCTTCACCAAATTTGGCATACTACCTTCTAGACTCAATTCGGTCGTATGTGCCAAATTCCATCCCACTTGGGAAAATATTAGACGTTTGATGCACAATAAAAGGTAAATCGGACGAAGTTATATATGGGAGCTATATCCAAATCTGAACCGATCTCGATAAAATTTAGCAAAGGTATTTCTGAGCTGCATTTCATATATTTCCCCGAATACCGTTGTCACGGAGTGCATATTACAGCTGCGGAGGACAAAAATAACAAATCGTATGAACAATATATATGGGAGCTATAGCTATATCTGAACCGATTTCGATCAAATTTGGTATACTTTTTTCAGGCCTAATTTGGGTGTATATGAAAAATTCCACACAATTCGGGCTGATATTACACGTTTGGTGCACAATAAAAGCCAAATCGTACGAAGATATATATGGGAGCTATATCTAAATTTTGACTGATTATCTCCGATTTCAATAGGGTTCGTCCTTTATTGAAATTAGGTAGGGTTATTTTAATGTCCTGTCTCCAAAGTCTCCAAAGAATTATTTAACTCTATGAGTCGTAAATTTAGCTGAATATTTTGTTCAAAATCCATTTATTTAAAATAATGCGCTTTGGAATAACATGCCGATATTTAATAATTTTGTTTAGTCCAAGGTTATAAAAGTAGTTTAGTCCTGAAGACAGTACATATTTTCACCTCAATATTTTAAATTATTTTTCATTATTGGTATTAATTTCTGGTTATTTTTAAATAATATTTTTCTTTTTCCAGCTTTTTGAATTGATATAAATTGCCTTAATATTTTACCAAAGGTAAGACCCAAAATTCGATTCAAATTTCACCAAACACTTTTGTCACACATTTTTCCAAAAAAATATATTTGTTTCTTGCTTTGCATGTTTGTTCTCAGTTTTGTTTCCAAAAAAAAAAAATCAAAACGGTTTTTATTAAAAAGTTCATTGACTTTTTCACGTGTCTTTTGTTTATTACCAACAATAATTTGAAGGGTATTTATCACTGGTTTCGTCCTTTGACCTTTTTCCATTTTGTCTGTCATCTTTGCACTTTTATTTATTTTTTACTATTTTTTTTTTAATTTCTGTTTATTAATATTATTTATTTATGTTTACCTTTTTAAGCACTATATATATTTTTTTAAATTATTACAAAGAAAACTTGAAGAACGGCTCTTCAGTTTTGAATGCACTTCTGTTTTTTTTTTTCTATTTTTTCCTTGTGAACACAATCCACGTTTTCAAACTGAATTGGGAGCTAACACTGCTACCACCATCGACTCACGATCAACACGCCTCAGAGCTAATGAAAAGACTGACACCTCAAACAGGTCAGTGGCTGAACAAAAGTGTGCTAGGCAGCAACAACAGCCGCGGCGACAGGCAAAGCAGAGCGGGCCTTGTTGTAACAACGTTGTCGACTAAGCAATCAGCCAAAGCAGCAACAACACTGCCGTTGAGGATCTTTTCTTTTGAGTTGCTGCTGTCGATGTGTTGTTGTTGTTGTTGCTGTTTGTGGGAGCCACCAAGTGCGATGTCTGCCTCAGTCGCTCGTCCAAGTGACAACAACAAAACACAATGTTTTGCTTTTTATTTACAGCTAAATCCAGTGTTGCCGTTTTGGGCGTTTCCGTCCAAATTTGGGCGGAAAAAAGATACATTTTGTGGTTTGGGCGGATTTTGGGCGGATTTTTTCCATATTGGGTACAAATTTCTTTTTCATTGTTTATTTTTACGTAATTTAGATTTTTTATTACTAACTGAATTTTATATTTTTTATTGAGATGAATCGTTTTTTATTTTATAGATTTTTGTTAAGTTTTTTAATAATATATATATATAATACATTAGGCTATAGTCGTGCGGGGCCGACCATGTGATACCCTACAACACTACAATATGTTAGAAGCCCGCTCATGTCCAAATCCATTTTGGAAGATTTCGCTTTTGAAATTATGTCACGGAGCACTCCAGCATATTACCCTTAGCATTTTGACCAGGGATATTTTCCCAATATTTATGCACTCCGTCGTGCTGTTAGTTTTTGTGGTCCATTTTATATATTCCAATGGTCATCCAAATTGGCAGAATTCTTCCCTGTACTTAACTATCTTCTCAGGCGTGTCGATTGGCTTCAATTTTAAATAAATATTTTGCGATCATCTCCAAAAGCAAGAGGCCCCTCTGTATCTCCAAATTTAGACTCATCTATATGATTTGCTTGTCTACGATATTTCAACGAAATCAGCATAAAAAACCCAGAAGTTCGCCTATTGTGTATCGCCTGTAAGTAATGTTGGTATTTTTTACACAAAAGTAGTGGTCCATTCTACCCGCTGTCCTAAGCTCTAACTTCATGCGAGATTTCGTGTCCTTAGGTTTATATTTGGGACCTTTATAACGGCTGCAAAATCAGGAACATTTTGAGTTGCTGGTCCATTTCAACCCCTAAATATATTGCGGACATCTTTGAAAACAAAAGGCTAAGCCCTTCTGAGCCTAACCCTACCTTTGTGAAAAATTTCGTGAGCATCGAACGATAATTGCAATCTGTATATAAATAATAACGCTAAATAACGCTATATATAACCAATATTTTTACTATCGGCATCTACTTAACGGTCAGAATTGACCTGTTCGTCTATTTGTGATTTCGCCGGCAGTAAAAATATTCGGGGTTTTAATGGAAAAATTGACTTTTATTTATCACAAATGCTACTAAACCACTAAATATTACCTGATGACCATCAACATTGGAAGGCTTCTGCCCAGCCCAAAGCTCTAGCCTCATGCTAACTTTCGCTTCGAATGGTCTATAATTGCGACCTGTAGAGTGATTGCAAATTAACATGGACAGACGGACGGACGGACATACATAGCTAGATCGACTCAGCTCGGCGAGATAGGAAGATCCATATATACTTTCCTATGTGGAAAAACAATATTTCGTGGTGTTACACAATTTTTGGCCCAATCAAAGTTATAATACACCCAACACATAGTGTTGTAGGGTATAAAAACCTGAATAATAATTAATGTATTTAATACATTGAATTCTTGTATTATGTTACTTTTTCAAATATATATATATATATATATATATATATATATATATATATATATATATATATATATATATATATATATATTATATATATATATATATATATATATATATATATATATATATATATATATATATATGTATATATATATATATATATATATATATATATAATATATAACAAGTTAAAAAGCAGTAAGTTCGGCCGGGCCGAACTTTTAATACCCTCCACCATTTGCAACGAATTTGGAAATTTTTAAAAAATAAAATCCTTAAAAAATTCTTTTAAAATTTTACAAATACCGAATATAGCCGTTATATTGGGGTCTATACGACGTGGACTTACATAGGCATTGTTTGTCATAAGCCATTACCATATTCAAATTCGAAACTTGAAATAAACGGTGAATAATGTAGCTAAAATCATCAAAATATCGTATATAAGGAGGTGCCGTTATATCGGAGTTGTGCGAAGACCTGGACCAGCATAGACAATTTTTTGTAACAGGCTGTAGCATCCATTACGAACTTAAAATACTACGAACTAAAATACATCTCAAACAATTTCGTTGGGTATTGTACCTAAAATCGTCAAAATACCGAATATATGGGGCCTATACGAAGACCTGGACCCGCACAGACAATTTTCTGTCACAGACTGTAGTTCCCATAACGAACTTCAAATACCAATCTTGAAACAATTCCGGTGAATAATGTTGCTAAAATCATCAAAATACCGAATATAGGGAGGTCCCGTTATATGGGGGCTATATGAAGACGTGGACCTGCACAGAAAATTTTCTGTCTTAGGGTGTAGTATCCATTTTGAACTTCAAATACCAAATTTGAAACAATTCCCGTGAATTATGTCGCTAAAATCATCAAGATACCGAATATCGGGAGGTACCGTTATATGGGGGCTATACGAAGACGTGGACCTGCACAGACAATTTTCCGTCTTATGGTGTAGTATCCATTTTGAACTTCAAATGCCAAATTTGAAACAATTCCCGTGAATAATGTCGCTAAAATCATCAAAATACCGAATATCGGGAGGTACCGTTATATGGGGGCTATATGAAAACGTGGACCTACATGGCCCATTTACAAACTTAACCTGCCTACTGGAAAATAAACATGTGTGCAAAATTTAAGCCATCTATCTCAATTCATTCGAAAGATAGCGTGATTACAACAGGCAGACAGACGGACATCGCTAAATCGACTTAGAATTTTACGCTGATCAAGAATATATATACTTTGTTGGGTCTGATATGAGTATTTCGAGGAGTTACAAACGGAATGACAAAGTTAATATACCCTCCATAGTATGGTGGAGGGTATAAAAAAATCTTGAAGTAAAATAACAATCAAATTTTTATTTTCTCTAATGTATTTAATACATTGAATGTAATAAAACTTGAGTACCTTTTTTATGTATAGTGAACATTTTTCAATAAAATTTACTTAAATACAAACTACATATAAATTATTCAACTTTTTACAGTTTGGGCGGATATGGTCGATTTTGGGCGGTTTTTAGAAAAAATTTGGGCTGAAATAAAAATTTCAAACGGCAACACTGGCTAAATCGCCACGGAAAATATTAAGGTAGAGCCGATGATAAGAGATAAGCCAAAGAGAAAGAGAGAGAGTGTGTGTGTGTGTGTTTTCCAAAGAGCACAATTGCTTTGGTCAAAAGAGAATGAAAGTAAACAAGATTAGATTAACAAAAATAATACGCGCAAATGAAAGCAAGCACTTGCAAGAAAAATTGAAAAGTTGTCACCAATTATGCAGGGTTGCCATCATTTATATATATTTATATTTACATTTTTATAAAATTAAAAAAAAAAAAACAAGTTAAAAAGTATCCGTCGGTTTTGCCGAAAATGTATACCCTCAGATAATGTTCGATTATTTACATATAATTTGACTTCTGTTATGATTATTCAAATTATCGACCCTCTGTGGAGTAGGTTCCTAAAGAATGGGCCAATATTGGACATTTCATATCGGACCTAAATAAATATGATATAAATATTGCGACGTGCCAGGTTTGTACTATATTGATAACTTCCTTCACTTTACATGACATATACGTTAATTTTTAGAAAATGTTAAAGTGTGCATAAGTTGCCAGATATAGTCGACCTAAGTCTTCCATTTTCATACTTCATCTAATACATCTTAATATAGTGGTATGGCCAAAATAATAAGAAAATATAACATTTATTTTTAATTTATGGAAAATCATAAATTCCAATTCCTCCTTAGGTTTCTGGTTGAGAGACATATAACTCGATATAGAGACTTGGAAGGAATCGCTGAGTTGTTTCGCAATTTATGACAAATAAAAGATTGAAAATCTAGACCCTTTGTGGGTGAGGTACCAGAAGGGATTCGTAGATATATAGCATCGCCACAACAGATTTTGTGTTAGAAAAAATGTTTGTATGTGTTGAATATAAGGAGAACCTGATGCTTACTTTGGATTTTATGAACGTTTTGGTTATTCAAAACTTTGACCCTTTGTGGGGGAGGTACCAGAAGGAATGGCCAGATTTCCACCGCCTTTATAACAGATCCTGTGTTGATAGAAGTATTCAGATATGCCAAGTCTGAATGGAAATCGGATGTTAATTTCGCGTTTTATGACCTTAATGGATATTCAAAATTTCGACCTCTTGTGGGGGAGGTTATAGAAGGAGTGGACCGATATATTCTGTCTTAATACCAAACCTTGGGTTTATAAAAAATATTAGGATGTGTGAAATTTGAAGACAATCGGGCTCCTACATCACATTTCATACCCTTTGTGGTGGAGGTGCTTGATAGAGTGGACCGATATTGTCCATTTTCGCACCTTACTTAGCACTGATGCAAATATTAGGATTTGCAAATGTGGAGCAAAATCGGATTATCGCTTCTCTATCTGTGCAAAAAATATATACTTTTTTGAAAATCTCGATCATTTGTGTGGGCGGTACCAGAAGGCGTGGACCGATATATTCCATCTTAACACCATACCTTGGGTTAATATAAATATTGGGATCTGTGAACTTTGAAGACAATCGGACTCTTACATCACATTTTATGAAAGTTGTAATTCTTTAAAATGTTGACCCTTTGTGGTGGAGGTGCTTGATAGATTGGGCCGATATTGTCCATTTTATCACCTAACATAGCACTGACGTAAATATTAGGATTTGCAAAGTTGGAAGAAAATCGGAATATTGTTTCTCTTGCCCTGCAGTGAAAATTTTGACCTTTTGTGGTGGAGTTACCAGAAGGCGTAAGCCGATATTGCCCATCTCCGAACTCGATCTAAGTTCGAGTACAATATTACGAT